AACTTAACCAGTTCATCGGTCATGCACGTGTATGTCGCCGCACTACCATACTCAAGTCTTGGTCTAACGTGGAAGGCGTACAGCAATCTGAAAGCGTTCATCGTAATCCGACTGAAAGATATCCGAATAGGTCCCAGAATGCTCCACGCATTGGTACAGCCCCTATTGGTGTTATCTCGGTTGTTTAGTGAAGACGTCACCATAACTCCCAGGTCTCTTTCGCACGATGTTCTGTGCAGTGTGGTTCCCTGGAAGTTGTAGACCACCTTTGAATCAGCGCACTCCAGGTGCAGTGTTCACTGGAAGTGCCCAGGTGTCCGCCCACTGAGCCAAGTTGTTCAAATCCGCTTGAAGAGTACTCAGATCATCCACACCTTCGATTGTACGCCAGATTCTGATGTCATCCGCATACATGACGGATGGGCTACCCAGCTGACCGGGCAGTTTGTTGACTTAAAGCACAAAGAGAAGTGGATCAAGAATAAAGCCTTGGGGGACTCCACTGGAGGCGGAATACCACGTAGATAGCGATCTACCAACATGAACGCAGAATGTCCTGTCGATAAGGAAGTCTCGCAGCCAATTCAGCATGACCACACCTACGCCGAGGTTGGACAGGTTTTGCAGGAGACATCAGTGTGGCATTTTGTCAAAGACCTTGCAGAAGCCTACGAAGATGAAGTTCATTTCGTCCCCTTTAGCCTTTCCCTCGGTCCAACATTCACGGGCTAGGAGTAGGTTTAAGAGGCATGAGTGACCCAGCCGTGTTGTTGGTGGCAAAGGTGACCGAAGCTGTGCAGCAACCAGTCGTTTTATTATTTTACCTACAACACTAGTAAGGATGACTGGTCGGTAGTTTCCAGAGTCACTCTTGTCTCCAACTTTGGGTATTGGTACCGTGACAGCATAGTTCCACTGCCGCGATAAACGTCCTTGTGTAAATGACACATTAAACAGGTTGCGCAACGGCACTGCAAGTTCGTCTATCAGCTTCCTTAGGATAAACGGATGCACACCATCAGGTCCAGATGACTGGTGAGCCTTTAGCCGACGCGGCTGTAGAGCCACCTCTCCGATGCTAAATGGAGTCCGATTCAGAGCAATGTCAGCTCCCACTGGATGTAGCAATGTGCTCGAGTCTGGGGTGTATACTGAGGCATAGTGCGATGCCAACATCTCCGCTTTGTTCACATTATTTTCAGCTGGTGCCACGTCTTTCGTGAGAGTAGGGAGACCCGGATGAGCTTTGATTTTTAGCCTGAGATAGGCATACAACCCTGCCAGCCATTGGGACGGTTTTCCGTCCCGTTAGAGTCCCTTTGGGATAATAGAAATAATCATCGTCTCTTAGAGTATTATTGTCCTAGTGGGACTCTAATGTTCACAGTCCGAACAGGACTGTTTAGAAAACTGTATATCCAATCACATTTCAAAAAATAAGACTATTTCCTTTCTTATAATTATCAGGTAGATGTGTTTAATAAAATCCATTTATTATAATTAGTATACCAAAACCTATTGAAAACCGTGCACCAAAAACAGGAAATTTTATGTGAATTTTGTTTTAATGCATCAAAGCGGTTAACCGCTTTGATGCCTGTACAGAATCCGCTGTGAGGCGTTTCTCGAATATGGTTCTCTTACATTTTTAGTGCAGTACAGTGAGTTCAAATAACTTCCTATTCCTTTTATCCTTTGCTTGTTGCAAGGTACCTAGACCAAGCTTTGTTTTACTGCCGGGTCACTTCCGCAGTTCTCGATCAAACCACGGCGGGTCCTTCACGTGTGTTCCNGGTGGGGGTGGAGTTAATTCCTGCATAAGGTGATGGATTTCGTGGAGGTCCAGACTCCAGGATTCATCCATGTCCTCAGGGTTTCGGGAATCTCATTTTCTGAGCGCTACAGCTTGACACATTTCCGGAAAGGATAAGTGCCAGACACTCTATCCGTCTTGTGGTATGTCTGTGTGAGGTACGCCACGCCACTCAGAACGGAGTGATCACTAGATGCAATTGGTGGAAGAAGGTCAATCTTGGTCGCATCTGAATGCCTCAGCGAAAGCACCAGGTCAACGATGGATGTTAGGTCCCCAAATATCCGGATGCAGCCGGATATTTTATATACATTTTATATATAAAACATAAATATTGTTTATTGTCTATCCTTGCTGCAATAACGATAAACATCTCATAATATTTTTGATTATGGCGATATAATCGTCAATGAATGAATCATCACATTTGCATCAACTGGCCATACTTGCTAGTTGATTGTCAGCATGAGTAATCGCGAGGTTCGGGTTTACAATGCCAAGCTCGCAGAGCAGGTGGAGAGATATGACGGTAAGATGAAGCCCAAATGAAGGGATTTTCACATTTACATTTATGAACAATTTCATTATCCTGGCAGAAATAGTGGAGTTGATGAAAAAGGTTGTCGAGGAAGACACGGAATTGTCGGTAGAGGAAAGAAACTTGCTTTCCATTGCTTATAATAATGTTATTGGGACCAGAAGGACTTCGTGGCGAGTTTTCGGTGGATTAGAGGGCTCTGGACAAATCCGTGCGAACCCCAAGGCGGCTGGACCTTTGAAGCAATACCGCGAGGAGTTAGAATCGGAAATCAATAAGGTTTCCACGGAAGTACTGGAGTTGTTGGATAAATACCTCAAAGCCAAATATCGCGGCAGATTCGCATGTTTTCTACTTGAAAATGTAAGTGATGCCATTCGGTTGTAAACAGTTCTGATGGCCATTTTAGGAAGGGGGATTATTATCGTTATATAGCTGAGTTCGCTGTTGGTGATCAACGCACAACCGTGACCACCAAAAACAACGAAGCATATGAGGAAGCATCAATCTAGCCAATACCCACTATTGCATTATTATATTATTATTATCGTTATATTATTATATGACACTATAGTGTCATATATAAAATGTATATGATAATTAATATACAAATTTTATTCTTAAGAATAAATTATATAATTATTATATTATTATATAATAACAATATTATTATATAATTACATATATATTATATATGATATATTCTTATATAAAGAAATATCTAATATATCTAACATAAAATTAAAATATATTTATATAATCTTGTCTATTCTTACATTAAAAAAATATTTTGAAATAATATTGCTAAATACACAATATATATAAATAAAATAATATTATTCTCATTATTAATATATTAAATTATATGTACATGTATGAAATAAAATTACAATTGAAATATTGATAGTAAAAATGAAGTGCAGAATGCTAACATTTTTCGTTCTCCATCTGCTTTCCCTGAATGGAATCGAAATCTGTTCCAGGCTTTCAATCAGTCGAACATATGAGAATCGAGTTTAAAAGGTTTCAGTAGCTATCGACGCGAATATATAATGACCTTCGCAGAGCATTCAACGCAAACAAACAAATTCAAATTTCAAGATGTGAGGAGACCTTCCCCTGTGAGATGTTCTGGTAGTGGCATGGATGGAACTGAAGGACACTCGCCCTCTCGAAGAAAATTCCCAATAATATACTGACTACTCATAAGTAAAATGATCGCGCTATTTTAGCGGTACTGAACTTCTTCCCAATGTTCCCAACTCCAGTCACCAATGAAGCCGGAAACTACCCTCATTATTCTTTTTATACCTACCAATATCCTTTACCGTTGTTCGTATGGACACCCGTTGCTGGATTTAAGAATCCTCGGAAATGGTTCACCTTTAAGTGAGTATAACCCAAGGACAACAGTGTTCTGTAGGCGGCATACTCGTCCTAGTAAATGATGCATTCCGGTATAATCCATCGTTATATTATCGGCAAAAGGAAGCTTGCTGATTGCTTGTCC